GATTTTAGACTTGTTTCCAGCTAATTTGATCGTTCTAGATGCAATGATACGGTCCGATTGTTGAGATTGAGACCAAAAAATGATAGTGGTGAATTATTAAAGAGAGATTGCCCGATTATGAGGCATCTGATGGTCATCATGGTGGTCGATGGAGCTGAAGAAGAAGAAATCACACATGTTTGCCCAATTACATGTGTTGAACTATTATGTGGGGAATTTTAATTGCCTTGAGGGAAGTTAAAATTGGGACACTCTGGACACCCGATCATTTGGACAATTTGAGGTGGAGAGTGAAATTTGATGAAGACCAATCTTGACGAATCTGAGCACTGGTAGTCTCGCCAGATATTGAGAAATCAGGTATAAAACCAGGATACCCCAGATCACTTGTAAAGGAAAGCCGCAACAAAGCTAGCAAATGGTTGTATATACGAAAAGACAGTACGATGGATAGATATGGCCTAAGAAGTTCTGGCTAGGAGATTGGGTTTTAAGCGGGACCGTTGTGACCCCTCCAATCTTTCCTGGGAACTTGCTTAGTGGAAGGATTATCCATACGGTACTATTTTTGTATATGTGACAGTTTGTTATGAAACTGTTGAAGACTAGCAGGATGACGACACAAAGAAACAGTTGGGTTCCGTATGATCAAGGATTTGATGGAGTGGTGATTTCTCCAAGGAAGTTAGATTCGGTGACTATAATTTCTCGAGGGGAGAATTGATGAAGACCCTGATAATGGAAGAGAAATACAGCAAAGGGATAAAGATTGGCACCCTATTTAAACTTGGATAGATGTTGTGACAGGATGAGCTGTTGTCAAACATAAGCAAGGAATAAGGAGAAATCTGGAGAACCAAAATTGCATGAGAGCACACGAAGATTGTGTAGGAGTACTCGGAGGATCCAACGAGGTACTATAATGAGACAACAGGTCCAAGGAGAAGAAGAGTTCCCAGATGAAGCTCAGAGCAGAGACTATGAAAAAGTTGTACAACAAAAGGTCTCTTGTGCTCTTGATAAAGGCAACAAGCAAGGACCTTTCCAATGCATGCAAGGATGGAAAAATGAGCTGTTGCAGATGCACCTAATTGAGGGGGTGCAAACGCCTATGATAAAAGGCGACCGCCTATGATGAAAGGCGAAGACACCAAAGAGAGTTGGTGTAGGTGGAGCTGTCAAGTGTAATGATGAAAGACGTAGAAGCTCCAAACATAGAAATCGAGGTGGAGGATTGCGAGGAGTATACCGCAACTTTCTCTTTCTATGTGATCAGTGGCAATGAACTCTCCCAAGTCCACATGGTGATAGAGAATCTTAGTCACTGGAGACATCCCCGATAAAGGAGGATGTGACTGTTTTATGACGAACAAAGACACCTCAGACAGAAGGTGTGTGGGCCATGAAAGGAACCCAAGTATAAACCGCCGCATGACGATGAGCAAAGACACCTCAGGAAAAGGTGTGACGACCGTTATATAAGTCCAAGTTTAGACCGTCTCATGACGATAGGCGAAGACACCTCAGGAGAAGGTGTGATGACTGTGATATGAGTCCAAGTTTGGACCATCTCATGATAACAGGCGGAGACACCTCAGGAGAAGGTGTGAGGACCGTGATATGAGTCCAAGTTTGGAGCATCTCATGATAACAGGCGGAGACACCTCAGGAGAAGGTGTGAGGACCGTGATATGAGTCCAAGTTCAAATCGTCTCATAATGACAGGAAGAGACACCTTAAAAGAAGGTGTGAGGGCTATGAGATGAGCCCATGATCAGACCGTCTCATGACAACAGGCGGAGACACCTCAGGAGAAGGTGTGAGGACCGTGATATGAGTCCAAGTTCAAATCGTGCAAATGCGTCCTTTTACAGGCCAAAATTGGGAACTATTGATTTGATGATGACAGGAGGAGACACCTCAAAAGAAGGTGTGAGGGCCGTGATAGAAGCCCCAGTTCAGAACGCCCCAAAGCCGATGTGATGGCTAAATATGAGTGGACAGATGGATAGCCAATAAAATGGCTATGATGAGTATGGAGACAAATGCAAGATTGACTTTCATGGATATTGCCCCCATGTTAAAGATCAATGAGCTAGAAGACATTTGCCTTGGACAATAAGTGGATGACTTGTGGAGCATTAAGACGCGGCTGCTATGAAGGAGTAGAGGGCATGCGCAGGTTCAGGGAACAAGTTGACTCTTGTCAAGGTGGTGAGCTCGGTAATGGCATTGTAATACTCAGAGTATGAAGACAGATATGGATCAACCTTTTATGGGCTGCCCCCATGGTTAAAGGTGGAAAGCTACCTAGACTCTTGAGACTAAGAGTGGGAGACTCATGGAGAAGTAAGGCGTGGTTCCTAGGGTGGAACAGAGGGCAGACGCAACTCCTGGATGAGTAGACTCTTGGAAGAGTAGTGAGCTTATGATCATATTGAGATACTCAGATAATAACTGTCTCACTTGAAATATCCGTTTGAGGGGGTGCTATAAGCCTTGATGTGAGGCTTGATGAATCATTCCGGATCGAGCATGGTTGATACGCTCGAAGGGGAATGTTGTTCCAGAGACAAGCGTTAACACTATTCAGATGTGATGTGGTAGACCATCTGGTTATAGTGATCCTTTTGTGTGAGAAAAAGGTGTGCTTTGGTTACTCTGATGATTGAAAGGTTTGGCGAGTACCTATAAACTTGGCCAAAGATGCTCTCAAAATGGAAAGCTTGGAAGAGCTGCAAGATGCAAGCTTGTGTTGAAGAAGAATGAGGACAGTTGCCCCACATGAATGGCAAAGGGGGTGATTGTTAGGTTGGTTGCCATTAATGTGCAACAACCATTGACCATTGCATCAACCATGTGCACTCATCCAAGATGTCAAAGGTTGGCAGCCACCATTGTTGAAGAAGAGCTGGAGTTGGCAGCCATCTTTGTTGAAGAAAAGCCTCCATGAATGCCTATAAATAGAGGCATATGCAAGAGAGCAAAATGAGTGAAGAGAATTATGAAAATGTGAAGAGAGTAGAGAGGAAGAGAGAGTTGCAATGGCATCAACCTTGCTGCCATTACAGCAGCTGCAAGTGCAGCAAAGAGAGTTGAGAGTTGAGTATGAGAGGGTGTAATCCTCCTCCTCCATGTATTTGTTTTGTATTATTTCTCTATCTCTAAATATATTGACTTCTCCCATGGATGTAGGCGGTTTTGCCGAACCACGTTAAATATTGTGTCAGTGTGCTTGACTCTCCTATGAGCAAGTATCAGAACATCACCGGTCGAAATTCCCAACAAGAGGTTCTACAGAAATATCCACTCCAAAGTTCTTGCTCCAGCACTCTTCAAATGGGCATCATTCAGAAGTTGAAGGTATATGTTCGGAATTTGGTGAACTGTACAGTATCCATGGAGACTGCCTTCCACATATCAACTCTGCATCCCGCCTTCTCAGTAACCACAATTGAATAACTCCACCTAATTTTAAAAGAGAGCACTCCATACAGATTCATCTCCTTCACCGTATTTTTCATGAACAAATTTGATCTTCTCCACGGATTTGCAGATTCCACTGCAGCTCCAGTCAAAAGAGGCAATGCACACGTTGCCAGCCAGTGCCTTCCACTCGCAGTCTGAAGTGGCAGAGTTAAAACACAAGTAACAAGTTTGAAATGGAGAAAAAAAGTAGAACCATATAAATGCCTCGTTGTTCCAGACATGCCATGCCATTTGCGAGATTAAATTAAAACCAATTTTAAGAGAATTTGAGGGTGTAGCAGTGATTCTTTTTTAAAGTGTTTTTCATTTTAAAATATATTAAACTAATATTTTTTTATTTTTTGAAAATTATTTTTCATATCAACATATTAAAATATCTAAAATTATAAAAAAAAATTAATTTAAAAAAATTTAAAAAATTTTAATAACCCTTTCAAAACACAATACTAAACAGCGAGTATTCATTCTTCTTTTTACTTATTAAGTCCCTGCCAGTGATGCAATTTAGAGCAACATATTTTGAGAGCAATACCGGGTGGTGTCCCACAGCATATGTTGCGGTCATCAATGAGCCCAACCTCAAGACCAATAAACCGTGCACCAAGAGGCTCGTCTTCATTAGCATACTTGTGCAATATGGGCCGGCAGTAACAATCAGCATCACAACATGAAGTCATGAACTGTCTTGAAAAATACCGAAAAAATAGAGCTCCACAATCCATATGTGGCATCCCAGCAGGTGATTCAGCCAACCAAATTCCTCATTGAAAAATCCTAGCCTCACTGGTTAATGGAGATATAAGTGGCCAGTTCTTTTGAGATAGCATATATATGCCCAGTTGCGTGTCGGAAGTAGTTGTTCCCCTCCACTCCAAATTTCCAATACTCTGGTTCATGATACCTGACATTCCCAAGGAATAGAAAGGAAATTTAAGATGTATGAAACACTAATAACACCATTTTGTAGAGACAAAAAGATAATGAAAATCAATAATCTCATCATTATAGAGAGGGCCTGAAAGAATTACCTTTGGGAAAGAACAGGTCCAGATTTCATACATCCAATGCACACCCTGGGCTTTGATCGATGGCAAGCAAGTGTGGAAGCTAGCATACCTACGGAAGAAAGAAGTGTGTGTGATCATCTCAGGTAGTGGGGAATATTTTATAGAATTTATGTTTACAAGGATGCTAAGAGCCAGTGCGTACCCAGATTAACATGGACATCATCATCCATCTTGACATAAAACTCTGCATCCCACTTTGCAACTGCTATGGAGAAGAAATTTTTTGTTTTTGTAGACAATTCATGGTATCCTTCAACATGCTCCTATAAAATTTAAAATAATGAGAACCAATTCCTGACATGGCATATTGTATCTTTCAAGATACAGAAAAAAGCATCATGGTTTTCTTACCAGCCTAAGGAAATCCTTATGCTGAGCATCTTCTGAATCAATGGCTCGGTCTAACATGTTGTTGGATGTTGCACTGAAACAGATACATGCAGATGTCATCAAGGTCAATTCCAATTCAATACAGCGGAGAAATTTGTGCCGACATATATAGTGAGATACAACCTCAAGTCAAGTCAACTTATGATGTTTATATTAGTCAGAGTATTCTAATGCAGCAATTTCAGGATCAACGACTTGCAGTTGCAAGTTATATTGCTGGATACTGCTGTTCAACACACTGCAGAAAACCAGACAGACAGGAAGAGAGAGGAATGAAGAGGAAGAGGGGAAGTGGCAAAGGGCAATCCCTACTTCCCTCATCCTCGGAATCTAACCTTCAGCTAAAACCAAGCTCTCTAACATTGACCATCCATCTGTTCCAGAAGAAGGATTATATCTGAGGGATTATTGTTGGTAAATAACCAACATTCCACAAAGATGTATCTCTTCAAAAATACCACCTGACAGCATAAATATAAGAACAACCATCGCAGAGAGTGGTTAATTACTGGCATGGGCCACACAAAGCCTTGATGTAAGAGAAATTATGCAAATAAAACAGTCAGGGCTCATGGTCACTCTGTATCTAATTGCATGTATCCCTCCTTTTCCACATGAAATGACCATGGATGAGAAAGATGATAGAGTATCATCAAGTCTAGCTTCTTCCCTAATCGAACAACAATACAATATGCAAAATTACTAAAACCATCTAGCTAGAACACAATGTTTTTCATAAACAAACAAGAAATGCACCGAAGACAATTAAACCTTGAGGCATCCAAGTCTCTCTAATTGAATCACGTCTCTTTCCACTACTAAAAGCGGTATTGATCCCAATAACCATGAAAACTTTCTAATTGAATCTAAGGAAAATACACTTAGGTATTCGAATTAACTTCAAAAATAATATTAATTATACAATTTACATCTTTTAAAATTTTTTTAAAAATAATTTTAATATAAAAATTTATTTTTATTATTTTTTTAGCCTTTGGTTTCTTTTTGGCCTTCTTTATACATACATGTCAAGTATAAATTTAAAAGAAAAATATTATTTAACTTATTTGTGTTTATAATATGGATTACAGGTTTGACAAGTTAAGTCATAGTACATGAACTATTTTTTTTAATTTTATTTTTTAATGTATTTTTTAAATAATATTTAAATTTATATTTTATTTAATATCACTCATATGTGGACTTTATTTTTATTTTCTTATTTAACTTTTTTTATAAAAATTATTTTTTAAAAATATTTTGTGCGTGTTTATTTTTTTAAGTGATTTTTTATATTATTTTAATATGAAAAATAATGTTTGAAAGAGATTATAAATTATTTTTTATATTTTATATAAAAAAATTTGCATGATGTATTTCAAAAAATAAAAATTATTTATTTTTGGTATAGAAAAAGGCATAAATTAAAAAAATCAGGGTTAATTATTTTCATACTCGATTATTTTTGCTTTTCAAAGAAATATTATCTTTCTATTTCAATACTTAATTAGTATTAACGATTTTTTGTTGATTTATATTTTATCAAGCATAAGCAATATTCTTATGTTTTCCAACTAAAAAAACTACAATATAATAAAATATATCCGTAATATGAACACTGAAATCCAGTACATGACATAACACTGACACCAAAGCTAGTTTGCAGCTAAAATGTTATCCTATCCACGAGAGATTCATATATTTATTTCTTCACAAAAACCAAAAACAGAGGTGCTATCAATAATTAAATATTATGGAGTATTTTTAATGGAAACGTGTCGTAGTTCATTAGATAGTTTAATTTACTTTAAACCATGTTATATGTAGAGCAGCTGCCATAAATGATTGTTGATTTTGAGGGAAATAATTATTGATCCAAGAACTCGTTTTTGATGGCGTCTGCTGCGTTTGGAAAAACATCTCACCCCGCCATTCCAATATATTTAATTTTACAAAAAATTATTTTTTTATATATTCTATATTGATTTAAAGTGTTTTTTTACATAATTGTTAGAACATAAAATAATATTATTTTATTACATTTCAGTATAAAAAATATTTTAAAAAATAAAAAATAAAAAAAACTTACTCAACGATTTTTTTATCCCTCGTTGAAATGGCCCAAGGCCTGGTGACTATAAAGGAAGGCCACGAAGCCCAGTTGCAATTGAAATTTGAAACTTATCGAAAGCTTAAACGAATAATTAAACCCTAAGCTAGCCAAACTGAACCATTTATTAAACGAGGAAGGCAAATTATAGACAGAAAATTCAAGTCCTTGTTTAGTGGTTGGATTTGTTCGCCGTCCGGTGAGCAATATGACAGCAACGAGCAACCTCAATCAGCATCCACATTGTTGATCCTCAACGATTTGTCCTCAACGTGAATGCCTTTAAAAATGGGATGGTAGTACCTAATCCTTTGTTACTGTAGACACAATTTTTATTATTAGAGAATTAAACAAGTATATGCACATAAATATTTATTTTTATTAAAATGTATCAGTGGTATAGTTTTTATTTAAAATATTTTTATGAAAGAATAAAATAATCATATGATTATTTCCTTACATTTGATTTATAGTAAATTAATTTATTTGTAAAATCAAGATTTATGATTTGTAAAAACATAGATTTAGACATATTAACAAATCAACTATCAATATTTATTTGTGTCCTTGGTTTATTACTTGATTTGTATCATATTTTAGTTACCTTGATCGAAGATAGTTTTCTTGATTTAAGAGCTAATTGAAACTTCTTCTTATATATATAAAAATATTATTCATCAGTAATAAAAGACAAGAGTTAAATAGCTCTCATTTTATAATTTTTCATAATATTATAATGGTTAGAAACCTAAATTTTTCATGACCGAAGAAAATTTTTTGAGCATTAGTAACACTCAATCAAATACTATCCAAATTAAACTTGATGCCTCATCACTGTACATCCTTCATGCTTCTGAAAACCTAAGAACAACGTTAGTAACCTAGCTCCTAAAAAAAGAAAATTATCCTATATTACATCGTGTTATGACGAATGCACCCCAAGACAAAAGCAAATTTGGCTTCGTAGATGGATCTATTACTCCTTCATCATCTAGTTCAAAAGAAGATTCTACATGGATCAAATGCAATTCAATAGTCCTTTCTTGGATCTTTAATTCTCTTCATCCTACGCAACATGATATTGTGATATTTTTTATGACAACACAAGAATTATGGAAAGATTTAGAAGAACATTTTTCACAAGGTAATGCTTCTTGAATTCATCAATTGAAAACTAAGATGATGAATACCTTGCAACGAGAAATGATTGTCTTAGCATATTACACCAAATTAAAAGGCATTTAGGATGAACTCAGTGCTTATTCACAAATCCCACCATATAGCTGCAGTTCATTAAAGGCGTTTGCTGCCAAAAAAAAAATACACTAATTTTAAATGGGTTTGAATGACAAATACAAAACTACCCATTCTCAAATCTTGAATATGAATCCCTTGCCTCTTTTATCTCATGTTTATACACAAGTAGCCCAAGAAGAATGAAAATAGTTAATATTAGAGACGTGATTGCCTTTTGTTGATATAACAACATTCTTGACAAACAGTTTTAGCAAATTCAATAACAATCGTGTAAATCCACAAGTAATCGTGACCTCTCCAAACTATTTTGTGACTATTACAAAAGGATGAAGCACACCAAAGAAATTTGTTTTGAACTACATGGATATCCGGAATGGTGGGACAAAGGGAAGAAATCATTAAAGCCACAAACAACCAATAATACACAACACATGGAGAAAACTGAGGGTAACAATATTGTTTCAATTACTAGATTGACAAATGAACACTCAACTCATATCTATGCTCAACCTTGATAAGAGTCATGCCTCTACAATCAACTTTGTGGGTATAGCTAATTTTACGGGTAATGCAATTTTTCTACCCAACAATAAAGATAAATGGATCTTGGATTTCGGCGCCTTTGACCATATGACATTTCAAGAAAAATTCATCTCTTTATACACAACTATTCCTTATTTCATGCCAATTAATATTCCAGATGGATCCTTTGTGCCAACATAGTCACTTGTAAATGTTTCCCTTACCTCTCTTATTACTTTAAAAGATGTCCTTCATATACTATTATTTTCCTACAAGCTTATTTCTATCAGCAAATTAACTAAAACATCTCAGTTGACCTCTTTCAATCATGCATCTTCAGGTACATCTTATCCATTATTAACTTTCTTTCATAATCTAATTTAACTACTTCACATGCTAGCTTTCTAGCAGCTATCACTCAACATGATTAGCACAAAATCTATACCCAAGCTATTAAAGATGTTTATTGATGAGTAGTAATACAACAAGAATTAAAGGCACTTTAACAAAATCATACATGAACTTTGGAGCCTTTTCCACCCGAAAAGAAATTCATTGGTTCCAAATGGGTTTACAAAATAAAATATCATTCTGATGGAACAACTAAGCGATACAAAGCTCGTTTGTCGGCTAAGGGTTATATACAAATTGACGGACTTAACTAACCAAAAATTTTGCCCTAATAGCAAAACTCACCACAATCCAAACTTTATTGGTAGTAGAAGTGGCTAAATCATAGGAATTACACCAACTAGATGTTCATAGTGCTTTCTTACATGGGACCTTGATGAGGAGGTATATATGACACAACCACTTGGATATTTTCCTTCCTTTGACAATCATGTGTATCGTCTTCGCAAATCCCTTTATGGTCTGAAACAAGCATCACGCTAATGGTTTGCTAAATTTTTCCATGTTATCCTTCAATTTAGGTTTACTCAATCAAAAACAGATACTTCTCTTTTTATCTATAGTCAAGGTACTTCCTTTCCTGCATTGCTTGTATATGTGTATGATATTATTATTGCTGGTAATAATAATGTATATGCTACAGCACTTAAGGATTACCTAGATGTCTAGTTTCACATTAAAGATCTTGGCCCTCTAAAATATTTTCTTAGGCTAGAGGTGGTTTGATCTCCTGATGGCATAGCCCTATCCCAACGTAAATGTGCCTTCAATATTTTGTACGAGATAAGTCTCCTTGGTAGCAAACCTTTTCATTTTTATTAATAAACAGAATCATAAATTAGCCTTAGATAATAGTGATATTCTAGATAATCCAAGAGCATATCATCGTCTTGTTGGACGGCTCATCTATTTAACCATCTCTTGACTAGATATCTGTTAACCAGTTCATATTATCTCTCAATTCATGCATTAACCCCATCATGGCTATTAGGCTGCAACTATTCGTGTCCTCTAATACCTTAAATCTGCCCCTGGACATAGGATTTTTCTACTGTCAAAATCTTATCTTTATCTTCATACTTACTATGATTTCAATTGGATTGGTTTTCTAGTTACTCGGTGCTCACTTACTGGTTATTTTATTACTTTAGATTGCTCTCCCATTTCTTGAAAAACCAAGAAAAAAACTACTGTTTCCCGCTCCTCAGTTAAAGTTGAATATCGCTCTATGGCTACTATAGCTTGTGAAGTTATTTGGCTTCGCACTTTACTACATGATTTGATGGTTCCTATTTCTTCATCTGGTCAGTTATATTATGACAACCGTGCTTCCATTCATATTACTGCTAATTCGATGCATAATGAATGTACAAAGCATATCGAGATCAACCTATCACTTTATTTGGGACTGTATCAAATCAGGATTCATTGCTACAACACATATTTCTTCTAAATTACAACTTGCTAACCTCTTCACCAAAGTTCCTGGTTCCCATTAGTTCTCATTTCTTGTTGGTAAGTTGGGCAATCGTAACTTCTATACTATAACTTGAGGGGGCATATTAACATTTCAATTGTCAATATTTATTTTCCATATTTAGCATCCTTGGTTTATTGCTTGATTTGTATTGATTTGTATACTATTTTAGTTTTCTTGATTTAAGAGCTAATTAAAGCTTCTTCTTGTATATAAGAATATCATTCATCAGTAATGATAGACAAGAATTGAATAACTCTCATTTAATAATTTCTCAAGACATATATTGCAGAGTGAGACTTGATGATTTAGTGCTTTAAAAAGTACCTTTAATGTTAAATAAATCTGACAAGGCTTTTAAGCTTGATTCAACAAATCTTTATTCTTCGTAGACTTCAAGTATAAATAAATAAGACTTGAGAGCTTCCTTATTTAAAAAGCTCGTTTTGAAAAAAAATTTGTATCTCAAAAAATCCTTTTTTTTTCTTTATCTAAGGTGAGTCCTTTATTTATAGAGATTTCTAAGAGCTCTTGTATCATTTTCTAATGCCACATGATATTATTTTATTAATTGATCTTGATTTATGGGATCTTGTATTTATGACAAAAAATTTAAATATCTCTTCTCATATTTTAACTTTTCAATGGCCAAGAAATACATAAAAGACCATTTGTTTTTGAAGTTATTTATTTTGATTTTATTTCATCATTTTATATAAAAATAAAATAAAAATAACATATGAAGAATTTTGATTGGTAAAAAGTTTTTATTTCTAAATATGCCCTCTTGAGATAAGTTTACTTAGACTTTAAAATAAGTGGACATGTCTCAAAAAATTATTGTTAAGAGAGTTTTATACTTTGAATATATTTTTCAACTTAAATTTAATTTGATCATATTAAATTATTACAATAAGTTAACTTAAATATTTTTATTATAAAAAATAAAATATAATTGCTAAAATTAAAAATTTTAATTGAAATTTTATCAAATCAAATAATAAAATTAAAATTGAATGCCTAATTCGAAGCAACAATATATTGGAGGAACCAAATAAAATTTACCCTCAGTGTCCAACAATTTTGACCGTCCCGTAGACTTCTGTGTGGTATCTTATTTTAAATGTGTCATCATCTTGAATTCCATGGCCTATTCCTTTCATGATTTTGATTTGCGGTTGATAAGTTAAGGCCTTCCAAAGATTTCATTCCCTTTCTCTTCCATGTCTTGGTTTTCGTGCGCTCGAATGTTGCCTATTTGCTTTGCAAAACTTCACGCGTCTTAGTCTTTGCTTAACGGCCTTGAACGTGGCAATAAACAGCCAGGGCGAGGTTAAGGGTAAACTTTTTTATTTTTTCTTTACCCCTTGGTCTCCTGACTTTACCTTCAATTGCGAGTCTTTAAATATAGGAGATTTATAACTTATTATAAGTTTTATGTTTGGGATTAAATATTAAATCATAAATTTAAATTTATTATTTGAAATTGAATTAGAAATCTTAATTATTTTATTATTAATTTAAAACCATAAATAAAGAAAATTAATTCTAAAAACCTATTTTGAAAATATAGTTGCAATTACTTTTTAAAATATTTTTTATATCAAAATACATTAAAATAATTTTTTTATTTTTTAAAAATTATTTTTAATATCAGTATATCAAAACAATCTAAAATATATAAAATAATTAATTAAAAAAAAACACAAAATAAAGCCATATTTTCAAATACGGTCTAAAAACTTAGACGTGCTGGTGTTTTGAAAATTTTCTGAAATTGCTAGTAGCTTTTCATGTAAATGCATTTAAAAAAGTATGTTGTTTTGTTTATTTAATTTAAACTAGTAAACTTTGATATGAATAATGATTCGTGTTTCTTAACAAATTGCAATTATCCTATGTGATTTCACCTTTATATATATATATATATATATATATATATATGCAATCTATTTGTAAAATTATTTTTTAAATAAGAGATTTTTTTGGGTGATATAAACAAGTTATTGACAGAACTAGTGTACGATATCCTAAAAATTAAAAAGAGAGAATATATTTAGAAAATGATTTTTAATATCAATTATAATTTAATTATTTGAGCAAATTAGAGGGTCTCCCCTCTTGATTGTTTTTATTGATATTTTATGAATTGAATTTTTTTTGGAATTCAATTCAATATCTAAAAAGTTTCAAACGTGTTAATTTATTTAATCATGTGAATTGAATTTAATTCCAATAATTCCAAACAACTTGTTAGGAGATTTTTATAACAAGTTTTTTAGTATAAATAAACTAACTGTTTCTCTTCATGGGTATTTAAGAATATAATAATAGTTGCTTTTTGCTTAAATATATATTAAAATATTTTGATTTTGATTTTTTTAAATTTTTCTACACTAGCATATTAAAACAGTTATAAAATAAAAACATTAATTTTATATTGCACATCTCCCTCGTGGTTCATTCTCGTGCTGTCAATTTTTATTTTCGTGATAATCATTATCATTACTGCCAACACACGATGTCAATGTACGAGATTTGCATTCATTTAAAGAGCTGCGCTGCGAGTAACTGTACTGGAAAACTGTCGTCTTAGGTCTCACTTGAGTACCTGCTGCTCATCCTTTTGCCGTCACAAATTCCAAGTACCATTTCTGCCCTCGATACCTTGGTCTTTATTTCGCTCCATTTATTTACTCTGACGAAGTTCCCTTATTTCTCATTAAGTTAACATCATCTTATCTGCCCTCGATTTAAATCCTCTCTTTACAGGACCACTTGTTGCAATCAACATATAT